ACTTTCTTCTCGGTTCCTTCTTCCATAACCCGAGCTCGGAGAAGGAAGAGATAAGAGGGCCCTATGGAGAATGTGGTCAGAAATCCATAATAGAGTCCGACCACAACGACCGAATTGATTATCTTCATGCATAAGGATACTAGATTACCTAGTATAAAAGATTTTAAAATCATCACAAACCTCCCTTTTTCTTTTCTATTGCAATTTCTGGATTATTATATATATGATAATTTTTTCACTTTCCATATATATAGAAATAGAAACAGATAGACTAGAAACGACATCTCTTATCTCAATGACACCACAGGGATATTAAATGAATGGAATTGGGATATGGATGGAATATAATGAAATAGAGCCACTTTGAGGTTCTCTATGAAATGAGGCATGGAACGGAGCCACTACGAAGAAGTTCCGGGAGTTACGAAGGAAACCTCGAGCTCATATTGGTCATGGGTTGAGAACGGGAATTGAATTCTCTGAGTTCATTCATAAATAGGGAGAGGAAAGAAAAGCAAGCAAAGAGAAAAGAGACCGTAAGTAAAGGAGAGTTCATTCATAAATAGGGAGAGGAAAGAAAAGCAAGCAAAGAGAAAAGAGACCGTAAGTAAAGGAGAAGAAAAGAAGTAGGATCAGTCTAATTCATCCATCAGGAGGAGAACGAGGAGAAGGATCCTTCGTCTACATTCACCTGTCGGTCTCACAATTCCGTTCCCTGTGTCTTTGTTCCGCTTCAGGGAATGAATAGAGGCTCCGGAGCTTGACCTTATTCAAAGACTGTAAACTCTCATCTTGTCTTGCTTGAGGCTTTCAAAGCTGCTAACTCCAGAAATAAGGCAATGGAAGCCACTTTAAAGAATAACATAGGTTCAGGAACAAAGAGACTGATAGATAGTTTACGAGGTGAAAGAGAAGGGTTTCTCTTTTGTCTTGACTTACTGTGAAGGAGAATGAAAATAGCTTGACTTACCGAGTGAGTGAAATCAAGGATCTTGAGCTGTTCCAGAATAAATAGGGGAAGGAGCGAAGCCTCTTTACCGACAGGGAAAGGAGCTGGATGACAGGAGTTAGCAGCTTTACCGAGTTCAAGACAGAGTGAAAGAAGGCTCGGTCGGTTCGTTCAATAGGTCAGGAGAAGGACTAAGGAAGGAGTATTGCTCTTTTACAGTTCCATCCGGTAAACTCAGACAGGTCAGGTAATATCAGGGCGGGAAAGAGAAGAGCTACTTATACAGTTCCATCCGGTAAACTCAGACAGGTCAGGTAATATCAGGGCGGGAAAGAGAAGAGCTACTTACTTTGACTTACAGAAATAAGGGAAGGGAATACCGGGGCAGGGGCAGGAGAGAAGCCAGCCCGGTAATCAAATAATTGATTGTTATAAATAGGGCTAGTAAGTTCAAGTTGAAAGTTATTGTGGTTGGTAATTGCTATCCTTTGCACCGGAAAAGCAAGTTCTCACGCTAGCGAGTGGGGCTCATGCTTCCAGGTTAGGATCTAATGGCACGGACACAGCGCGGGAAAGTTCGATCCCGACGGAGGAGGTGAAGGAAATGAAATGGTGAAACCGACCTTAAGGGGAGGTGAAGGAAATGAAATGGTTCAACCTTAGGAGGAGGTGAAGGGGCGGAGCTCTGAGACCCTACGGGGAAGGGGCGAAGAAGCTCGACTGGAAAGGAGAGGGGCGGGAGCCCGAGCAAGCAAGCAAGAAAGTCAGTTCCTTCCAACCCAGTCAGCAAGAAAGAGTTGGGGTTAAGTAAGTGAAGATTCGTTTCGTATTATTTCATGTCTTGTATTTCATCCAAATGGGGGTGGGGGCAATAGAATCCTCCTTACGTAAGGTCCATCCTACCCAACTTTCAGTAAGATACGCTGACGCCGTGTATGATTCTCATAACCAATTCCCAACATATCATCAGCTGCCACCGTTGGAACCAATGAAGCAAATGATTGACCCGGAATAGAGGTTCAGGAGTAAGTAGAGAAGCAGGTAGTTTACGAGGGGTGAAAGAGCGAGACATAGAGGGAGAAGGGCAGTTCAGTCGAATGAATCCCACGTATTTCTCTTTTTCTTTTCCCTTGTTCAATCTGGTTCAGGCAATGGAATTGTGCCAAGATTCATCTCCGATACAGTACAAATAGAATCCGATTCTCTTTTCATGTATTTTGATTTTTCCTCTTTTCATATTAGATTTCTTCATTTCCCCCTACGTGACTTTCTAAAGCACATCTAAGTGATATGCGTGATACATAGTTCATAATGTAGAACTCATTTAGTTCATCCTATTAGCTCGGCTCATCCAGGGGACTATGAGAATCCCTTTCCTGAATTATTAGAAACCAAAACCAGTCTCACATTTTACCCAATCTTCGCTGTCTAGCGCGAGACGAGAAGAGGAGAGGGGAGAGGGAGTAAGGAATGAATAAGTAGCGAGACTGGAAAGGAGAGGGGAGAAGAAATCGTTCCTATTGGATTGGGTCGTGCGTGGCAGCTGGTAGAGATGAATAAAGGCGGGCCGCTTCAACGGGACCTATTCTCTCTCTTAATAGGCGGCAAGGCAGAATAGGAAAGGGGCCGAGTGATTAGTGCCTTTTTAGCCTCAATTCTTAGGGAGAAGAAAGAAGGCTGGGAATGAATGGGAAGACTGAATTAGTATCTGACTGCCGCCGAAAGGAATTTGTAGGAAATGCCACTACGCCTTCGGTATTGGCACTCAGTGGATGGAGCCTTACATTAAAGATTGGGTCTCGGATGGTATATGTTAACAACTACGTCAACCATCACATCCGAGTTTCACAAAGCAATCTTAGTGGTCAAGTATTAGTGAGTGGTTTGCGGAGAATCTTTCGACCGATGTTTACGGTGTAACTGTTCCTAGTAGTAGTAACTGTTCTGAATGTAACCGTTCCTTATGTACCTGGGCAGATATCTATACTATGCAGTGTTCAGTTCTTTCATTAAGGAAGTCAATCCTATCGAAGAATCAATGAGAGTTAACTGTCAGGAAATCCTCATTCTTCCTTCTTTCTCTTTCTCTTCGACTTCAAACACTCTTTCACTCGGGAAAGAGCGGGGGCGAAGCCGCTCGACTGTAAAGGAGAGGAGTGTTTGAAGGTTCGTTCCGGGTCAGGTTCCTTCCTGAAAATCCGATAGTTGGGAATACCGTAGCAAAACAATTTCGTCTGAGTTCTGCGCCGCCGCCTCAAATGAAAGGCGCAGGTTGATCTCTCTGGTTGAGGATGAATTTATTCAACTTGACACGTGGGAAGGGCTTACTCTCCTCGGCTTGGTCTCGCTCCCGCGAGCCGGGCTGATAGAGATGAGGCCTTTTGGCGAAGCCAAGTCAATTTCGGGCCACCAAACCCTGCAATGATCAGGCCCTATGGAGTAAAGGGAAGCGTGTACGTTGTCACACT